GTTGGCAGCTTTTTAGTTTCTTCTCTTCAACTTCCAAATCAGGACCTGCATATCCTTGCTGCTCCCAGCCTTGGTCAGGGAGCCTCAGTCTTGCGTGTCCTTGTGGTGTGGGGGAGAGTTCAGTCAAGCTGGTCTCAGCATTCTTGAGCATTAGGAACAGCAGTGTTATCCTTGCTCAGTGTTTTCACTGATCAGCAGCCCATCCTTGCTCCACTGAACAGCAAACTCTCCTTGCTCAGCCCTTCACTGACAAACTTACCAGCCTGCTTAGGCTGAGAGCCCTGCTACAGATGTCTGTGAGAGAAGTGATCTAAGGTAAAATTGGGACATGGATGGATATTTCTTTTAGTCTTTGCTAGTGTGCCACTTTCATGTAATTGAGAATCTAATTTATTCCTGGGTTCTTATGTATTAAAGCTGCACCTCAGATTTCAGTTTTATTCTCAAGTGTGAAAGAGCAGGGTTCAAGCTGAATTCCTGCTGTTGAGTGATTCTAGGTATCACATCTTGCCAAAGCAGGATCCAATTGCCACCTCACAGTCTATGTGCATTCTGTCTCTTTTACTTCTATTACTAGGCCATCTCAGATGATTCAAATATTTACCCCTTTATCCTTTTTAATGCAGGATTTGTCTTCAACCCTCCCCCCTCAATGAGTTGCATGTTTTGCTTCTGTTCTGCTGGTCTGTGAATTCATTGTTTGCAGGCTGGCAAGGCACCAGTTTTGGGGTGACAGATGGAGCAGACTGCAAACCAGGCAGTTGCCTCCTAGCCTGAATGATATTTTAATAAGCACAGAGAGGTGACAGAAAGAGAAGCTTCTCACTGGAATGACTGGCAGTTTTGTTTGCAGGCTGAAAGCACTAATAGATAATTTTTGGCCTCAGTCCAAAAAAAAAAAATTAGCAGAAAATTCTATTAGCTCCTAACTTTTTTAGGGGTCAAAGTTTTTATGTCTAGTCCATTATCCATTTAGGGAGTTGATTCTCCATTTTTGGTATTTCAGTTCTCTCTCAGAAACTGTACACTTTAGGAGACTTTCCTTTTACTTACCATTTTCTTTTCCTTCTTTTATTTTATTATTTCAGCAATTTTCTCCATTGTCTTCCTTCCTTAAACATTCCTTCTTCTTCACATTTCTTTATACTTTTCACAGATTCATGTTGGAATATTGGGATCTACCAGCTTACTTGGCTTCCAGCTTCCATATCCTGTGAAACAACTACTGCACTGCAAGGCAATGGCATCTGCATGGGCATCTCTAGAGCATATGTCCTCCCTGCCCTTCAGCTGTGTCTCAGTTGTATAATACAGGGTTTGTGTAGGGCTTTGTTTCATCCATGGTCTTATGAATATAAAAAGGCACAACAAAAGGGAGGTCTGGCAAATCCCCAGCGAGCTCTGAGATCCCTCTGCAGTATGAGCAACATGGTGTTTTGCAGACAAGTTGTAGGATAGTCAGGCTTTCAAAGGAGAAGATGCTGCTTCTTTCCATGAGTACAGGTTTAAAAAGGTCCAGCTCTCACTAGGAAAATATAAAAGTGGTGCTGGGATCTGAACTACAGTGTGTTCCCATACACTGCTCAGAGAACACACTGGAAATTTCTCAATATTTGGACATAGATTTTCATGTTTATTTAACAGGATTCAGGTTTGGACTTCAACTCATGTGTGAGCTGTAAATTAATGCTATTCCTGCTAAAATATGGGTTTTTTTCCTTCCAGATACAATGATGACACTGAACATTCAGATCATCTTTGGCCTCCTTTGCTGCATGACTTTTCTTCCTACAGATGGCTTCCCAGCAGACACCAGTACTGAATTTCGCTCTGCTTTCTCTGTGGCCAGAACCAGCAGCATGGAAGGGAGCTCTGAGATGGTGATTACCTTTGACAAAGTGTATGTGAATATTGGCAATGATTTTGACCCCAAGACTGGATTGTTCCGCTGCCGGATCCCAGGAGCCTACTACTTCTCCTTCACCGTTGGGAAATACCCCAAGAAAAACTTGTCTGTCATGCTGATGAGAAACAAGAATGAGGTGCAGGTAATTGTGTATGACGAACATCACCGCAAGGAACGCAAGGTGGCCAGCCAGAGTGCCATGCTGCAGCTTGACTACGGGGACACAGTGTGGCTGCGTTTACATGGAGATCCTAAGTACGCTCTTTACAGCAATGTGGGGCCCTATACAACTTTCAATGGCTACCTGATCTATCCAGACACTTCTGCCTTCTTCCAGAATGCTCTTGACTCTCAAGAGCTCGGGCCACACCCTCACACAATTCAGCAACTTCCCAGAGAGCAGAATGAAGCTTCACAGCGACGCGTGTTGTCTGACCAGCCAAAAAGGGTACAAGACCCTCGCTCTGCGTTTTCTGTTGCCCGCTCACAAAGTCTCCTGGGGACAGATGAGAAGCAAACCCAGCACGAGCCAATCACATTTGATACAGAGTTCGTGAATATCGGAAAAGATTTCAATTCCTCCACTGGCGTCTTCACGTGCCGTATACCTGGTGCATACTATTTCTCCTTCACCATTGGCAAAATGCCCTTTAAGACTATGTCAGTGAAACTGATGAAGAACCACAATGAGGTGCAGGCCATGATCTATGACGACAACCACTCCAAGCGGCGGGAGATGCAGAGCCAGAGCATCATGCTGCCTCTGCAGTACGGGGACACCGTTTGGCTCTACAGCCATCAGCATGATGGCTATGGTGCCTACAGCAACCACGGCAAGTACATCACCTTCACAGGCTTCCTCATCTATTCAGAGGCTCAGCCAAAGTGGCTGCCAGGTGCCAGCTCACCTCAAGGGTCAAACAATTAAATGCAGCTGTGAAAGGAGCATAAGGGTGCCAAGAAGAGCCAAGGTGCCATGAACTTGGGTACAGCTTCTCTGAATATCATCCTCTACTTTGAGCATGCTGTCATGTGTCCAGTGCTTTCCTTAGCTGCACGCTCGTGCCCTGTCTGCAGGGCCACTGCTGTGTGTGCCATTCATCCGTAGAGAGGCCTTTCAGGTTGTAGCCGTGTGTCCCGTGTTGGTGTTTGATTTAACATAAAGCATGAGGTAGTTTTGGGGCAGGGGTGGGGCACTGTAGTGAGGTGCTGAGGATCAGAGAACTACTGCAGTCATGTTACTGCAAATCTCCAGCATCCAGAGAGAAAAGGGTATGGTGACTTTCCTTGTTTATCCAGGGAGGGAATAAATGTAATGAAAATGAATGTAATAAAAATACAAAATATGAGAATGGTCTCAGTTTGGAATTTTTGCTACTTTGTGAGATTTGTGTGCTTGTCATGGGCTGAGGTACCAGCCAGTACTGAGCTCAGGTGAGAGAGATGCATGGTAATTGTGTGAGCTGTGTTACTGAGCCAGTCTGTCTGTGTACACTCTTTAATCATTTGTGTGTGTGAAGGGTTGGTACCTCTTATGATTTTACTGCAAGTTTCAGAGCGGTTTGTGCTTTTCTTTATCTGATGTAGATGAAGTCAAAAAGCTGTGGTTGAGAATCTCAGCTTCCATTTAATGTAAAGAATACATTTAGAAACAAACAAACAACCTGCAGGCTTCTTGTAGTGAGAGATAAGGGCTCAAATCTGTGAATGGACCATGCTCTGAAAGCCCAGAAGCAAGGTAAGTAAGAAGAATAAGAAATGCGTTTTTAAATCTCCAAAGATTTGGATCAGGAGCAGGCTCATAGCACCAAGTGTGAGTAGTACCAGACCAGCAGTGTTACTGCTGATCGCAGGGGCGTTGCCTTCCCCAAAAACGGGTCCCTTGAACCAAGGGTGCTGCCAGCCCACCACGTGCTGCACCGACAGCCTCCTGCAGGCGGGCTCAGAGGAGCCGTGGGTGATGTTTTCAGCATCCATGTTCCAGTGGTTTCGTACTTGCCGAGTTCCACCGAGAGTTTTCCCTGTGGAGAGGCTGCTGTGGCTGTAGAGGACGCTGCTGTGTTCCTGCAGTCCGACAAACAGACGGGCGCCCGGCGGGATCCGGGATCCGCTGAGGAGGTAGTGGGAGCACAGGAGGCTTCATCGTAGCACCACTGGTGCTGTTTCACTTGAGCTAAACCCTGGTTTGTATCCCAAAATACATAAACTGCAAAAGTGCATAATCTTAAGCATGTACAAAGCTTCATGACATCACTTCGGTGTGCTTTACAATCCGTTCAACAGGCAGCAATGCTCTAAAACTGCTCCTAACAAAATCCTGAGTTCAAAGCAGTGTGTTGGCATCCGAGTCACAAGCCAAGCCACTCAGCCTTTTTCCATATATTTGCATGGCTCAGGCTGTACATTCTCCAGCAAGACAGTACTTTAATGCACTAGTGCCATCCCAGCTCAGCTTTTTGATGATACACTAGACTTGAATGCAGCCACTCACTGCCTCTGTCACTCCATACATATCCTAGACATTAAAGACTGAGGGCATATTTGGCAAGAGGGTGAAGGGTAAAGATTGGAAGTATGTAAAAAAAAACAGCATAAGAATAATAGAACATTAGGTGAGACAAGAAGTTTTACTTCAAATAAAATTCTAATTTTAATTCCTATATCCTTTGGGGTGAAAAACAAACAAAGAAACAAACAAAAAAGAAACCCGAAGCAAAAACCAAAATAAAACAAACACACAAAACAAAAATCCAGCAACAAACAACCTGCTTTAAATGTATCTCCTTCTGTCATAACCCTAAGCTGACTTCTAAAACCATTATCTGTAGCATCTTGCTTCCAGGCTTCGTGTTCCTGCCTTACTATTTCTCCTCTCCATCTGTTGGGCTACAATGGCTTGGAATAAGATTAACTAGGTCAGAAGCTGCAGTTCCCACTTTGAAGGTCGCACATGCCTCTTTTGTCAAACATGGAAACATTATATTGATAGAAAGGGAATTATGGATCCCATCCCATTAAGCACATGCAATGAATGTTCAAAATTGATGTTCCTATAGTGGTAGCAGGAAATCAAACAAGAACCAAAATCAAAACCCTCCTGAGGAGATAATTATATTTATTTCATTCCACACCACAGTGTTTAAGACAGACAAATGTTATTGATGTCTTTCTGTAAAATAGTTATATTTCTGATTTGAGGATAGAGACTATGTATTTATTATGTTTGGCTTGTAAAATGCCATGGCTGTACAAAAACCAACTTTATAGAAGAGAGGCAAAATCTGCTGAAGAAATAACTAGGTCAGGATCTTTCAGAATTTAAATGAGATTTCGAGAAGTATATTCCAAAATGATAACTGAAACAAAGCTGTGTATATGTGTAAATATGATATGCAAATACTAGAAAGCTTTGTGGAATACATACATTTTCAGGTTGCTTTTTAAAGAAAAATGAATACATGGGATGACAAATTGCTGTTTACACATAAAATATGATGCCACATGAGGAGAAAAATTAAATTAAATATGTGAACTATATCATGGAACACAACAAAACCTGCTTAGCTGCTACTGGAGAAAAGATCTTGTATTTGTCTGAAACCACAGGGAGAATATAAGGAAAGTGAACTGAATTATCTGAAATTAAGTCAGCCGTGACACCAGCATAATATCCTGGAAAAATACTTCCAAGCCATGTCTCCAGAGCATCAGTGATCAAGATACATAAGACATCTAAATAGCACTGCCCCCTTCAGCACAGCTCACTTAGGAAAAAATCAGAAAAGGAAGAAATGCACTTTACAGTTTTGTCTTTTTTCATTTAAAAATAAAAGCTGGTGCATAAATCCTGAGAGGGTTAACAGCACAGTGCAGAAAGCAGGACAAAAAGGTGTGGCATGTTTATTTGAAGTCCTGCATACCGTGGAAAACATTGAAAATAACCAAGAAGGCAGCTGCAGCCAGGCGTGCCCTTTCCTACGGTGGGTGCCCTCATTAGGTGTCTCTCTTGGTCCTGGCCAGGTTAGAGCGATAGAAATGTTTCAGGGATGCTAAATGTGAAGGCTTCTCCTTCCAAGGCCAGGAAGCCTGGAGGAGGGTGGTATTTGCAGGGCAGAGCCCCTTGCACAGGTCACGAAAGATTTCATCAACCAGCTGAGAGAAAAAGCCAATCCAGGGGGTTTTATCCAGACCCTGCGTGGAGCGAACCTGATAGGCACTGTAAACACTGGTGAAAAGGAGACGGTCAAACTCCGTCGGAGGCAAGGGAGTGTCAGTCAGTGAATAATATCTCAGATGCTGCTCAATCTCCGCCGGTGTTTTAGGAACTTCCTCCTCTAAAATCTGCAGGAAGCGCCGTGCCGGGCGTAGGGAGGCCAGCTCTTCATCCCGCAGATGGATTGTCCCGTTGGCCTGAATATCCAGCCTTCCCCAGAGCATCTGGAAGAGAGGAGCAGCGCTGTCACGGAAAGCCCAGCACAGCTCCATCCCTCACAGAGGCGCAGCGAGCAAAGCCCTCCCGGCGCTGCCCAACAGCCCTCGGGCGGGCCCCGGGGAGGCCGCTCCCTCACGGCCGGCCTGGCCCCGCTCCATGTCCCTCTGCCAGCCCCACGCCCCGGGTCTGACCGCCCCACACCTCGTTTTCCCGTGGGACCCGTGCAGCTCTCGCCTCCCTCCCTGCTGTCCCCCCGCAGTCCCGCCTGCAGCAGCTCCCCGGTGCGGCCGCCTCGGCCGTCACCAAGCCCAGCGGGGATGGCCCCTTGTCCCCCCGCGGACAGCCCGTGAGGTGCCACGGCGGGCGGCACGGCCGCCTTGGGAGGGAGCACAAATGCCATTAGGCATCGCCGAGGCGTTCTCCGGGGGCCCCTGAAATCCGTCAGGGATGAGAACAAACAGAACGGGTGAGTTTTTACGTGCGGGCAGGTGGGAGCATGGGCCCTGACAGTGCCTCGGCCCAGGGCCCCCAGTGCTCAGGAGACCTCTAACATGATGCCAGCGTCCTCTGGGCCACGACGGGCTCTGTTGGTGCCGCTGTGAGGATGTTCATCTGGAAGACATCAGACAGAGCTTGGTAGCACAAGACCTTCCTGTTTACTGTTTTTGCCGTTTGATTGTCAATAACGTCTTCAGCATTCCTGAGCCACCACTCAGCTTGCCAAATATGACAGATGCTGACCACGGGATTTTGATAAGCAAAACAAGCTTTTTAAGAGAAGCAGCAGTGGTTGGGGCGAGGTTTTGGATATCACAGCCTTTAGTGCTGCCAGCAGAGCTAAAGCATACAGCAGCAAAGGCACTGCTTTGACAGGCAGCAAGGAAGCCTCTCACACCGAGAATGGATGGGGTTTGAGCCGATGGGTTTGGCTGGTTAGCAGTTTTTGCTGGAGAAAATAATGCTGCCCAATGAAAGGAGCATGCTGGCAGGCTCCTCATGCTGCTGCTAGAAATATAAACTGATCTTATCCTGGTTTTCTCCTTCTTCCCTAAGTTTCTGCTGCTGGAAGAGTGTGAGGGTAAAAGAAACCTTGTCAGATCCATTATGGCTGATTTGATGTCCAGCTAATTACTTGCTGGGACGCATGACATCATGTAATCTGGGAAAAATGGGTATGAGGCCAGAGGAATGGCAGTTTTTTAATATGAAGGTCACATTAATCCTAAGAATTGTTTGATTTTCATTTTCTGATGCTTACAGTGCTTTAACTGTCTGCATTTATTTTATTTCTTTTTTTGCATGTATGAAAAAGGAGACACAAGCAGTCTTGGTCCAGGACTATGAGGGAGAGGCTGCATCCCTTCCCTCCTCTCTGTTATCAGTGTCATGAGGTAGCTAAGACTCTCTTCTACTTCTTACAGACTCATCCTTCAGGTTAAGAAACATGAAATGGAAAAATCTCATATAAAATAGTAAGCTCTCTGATATATTTATGGGGTTGGGGTTTTTTAATTTTTAAATGGATGAAGGCTTTTTCATATATATATATTTTTAAAAAAGTGAGTATTTACATTGAATACTCCAGAGTTAAAGTCAGCAGGTGCATATAAAAAGTAGAAAAAGTATTTAGTACTATAGATGTGTGATGACTGCTACCAAAAGATACTTCCAAATCTCCATTTTTGATTAGACCTTTTCAGGGAGATGCACAGGCTGCCTGGAAAAGTGCATTGCCAGCCAGCAGGCTGCAGAGGTTTGTTTCTCTGCACAGCTGCAGGCTCTGTGATCCAAGCCAGCTGTGGCTTTGGAATGTGAGCAGGGATGTATCTTCTTTTTCCTACTCCTCCACAGATGTACCAGCAAGGCTTTTAGCTCAGGTGAAAGCATTATATCTTGTGAAAATTTCTTTGGTGGTACTGTCTCTAGTACCGATGCTCTCGGCTCACAGATCCCTCTCCTGAGAGGTGTCTGACTGGCTGCAAAGTCAGTGCTTTTGTTGAAGAGATGCCAAACTGCCGTTATTAGTAACTGCCTCATAAATATACAGTGGTGGATTTTTGAGTAGAGAAAAATTTAACAAAGAATAACAAATAATGTATTGAAATAATAACATAACTATCCTCTGGGGAAGGGAAAATCCTTACTTATTTTATCACTCAGCAGGGTTGGGTGGGGTTTTTTATCCCAAAAAGCATATTAAAAACCCACAAACAGTATTGCAAATTATTTTTTCAGTGGAGACCCAAGAAAATCCTCCCCTTGCCACCAAACACAGCAGCAGGTCTTCAACCTGCTAGGAGGTAGCAGTGCCCCCACCAGCAAGCCCCCCCAGCTGGACTCCAGCTCTATCCCGTGCCAGTGCAGCTGCCTGAGGCCTCGGGCCACATTTGAAGGAGCGGCAAAGCATCACACAACCGGCATTGCACAAAGGTTTGCCAAGCCATGCAGCCGTGTCGCTAACAGATGTGCTGCCTACCTGTCAGCCTCTGGGATGCAGCAAACACACACAGGAGCAGCCAGGAGCTGAGCTGTGCCTGGGCCATGGCAGCACTGTCCCAGCAGCTGCCACCCGCTCTGCGCCCCAAGCCACAGCAGCTCGCCTGGGGCGTCTTCCCGTGCTGCTTCGGATCCCAGCAGCCTCTCTTGGAAAGGATCCATCTTTCTGTGTTTCTGGTCACAGCCCTGGGAAGGGCTTGTAGTTCAACTTGTTGACCCCGAAGGATATTTTCCGTCATATTTTGGAAACTTGGAAAACTTTGTTGTGATGTTTTTGGCAGAATTGTTTAAGCTTCCTTTTCAAAGATTGACTTTCCACTGCAATGATTATAGGAAGCTGTTAGTTGCAAGAAATTCCACTACACATGTTTGTTTGCCTCTTAAGAAGTGAGGACCCCCTAGTCCCTTCCATCTCTGCACAGTGCCTCTGTCACATTTCAGTTTTCCTTTTTCCGGGGTTCAAAAATCTGAAAACAATCCTGGAATGTCACAAACAGATAAAGCTAGCAGTCTGCAGATTCATGGAAGGGCAGTAGCAGCCAAAACATACAAACAGGCAGAAGAAATGTCACTTTATCAGTTCTGTTTCAAACCCCCCAGAGGGAGAACTCAGTACAGTGACCTAACAAACACCAAGTATCAAAGTGGCTCAGGCTTTAGCACCTTATTGTCCTCTCCTGTGAGTGGACATTTGGGTTACAGTGAGCACAGTCTGCCTTAGATGTTCTAAATTATATAGACAAAACTTAATTTGATTCACTTTACAGCAGGTATCTATTGTCTACACATCTTTACATATTTATTAGTGCCAAGTCCCCAGTCAAACTGTTCTGTATTTCTACTCTGTATGGCACAGAATGTAATGCCAGGGCTATACAAATATGCAGTAATATGTATAAATGAGTACTAATACCATCTCTCTCAGGTTAAAGAGAGAAAGAAGTCTGCCTAGAAAAGAGAGAAGGTAAAGCTGAAGTGCATCTCTTGCTCAGCAAGTCACAGGACATCAGTCGTTGCATACTGTCACCAGATAGTGTACTAGCTGGGATGATGTCCTAGTTGGTACTACCTCTCCTACACATAATGGAAGAGCCACAGAAGGGCCCACAATATCCAGAGCCACTCTTCCCCTCAGTTCAGATTCAAAGCAAGACCTGTGTTTTCTGTCATAGGCTTAGGTATCTTAGATATCATGTCATGCTATGCTGCTTTTGTTTTTCATTATTTTCTGCTGCTTACTCTTCAGTTGCATTCCTTTCTTCTTTTATTAAGCTGAATCACAAGCTTCCCAAGAGGCAGACACTTATAGCCCACCTGTGCAGTGGGATTGATGTGCCTTCTGCTTTGTGCCAGAGTCCCTTTTAGGCCACAGTGTATGCGTGTTGTCTCGAAGCCACTATGGAAAAACCCCTGTGTTTCACGGGCCATGAAACAGCCTCCTTTTAACTTGCAGCACATGACATGAAGAGGATTGCCCAACAGGATTTTGGCCAACATCTGTGAGAGCTGCACATGATTTTGCCAACTGGAGAATTTCCTAGGATCAGCTTGCAGCTGAAGTGCCTAGAGGAGGACAGCCACGTCGGTGGGAGGGAGAGAAAGGAGGCTTGGGGCTGTGCTCAGGTGACTGACACAGTGGCAGATGAGGGACAAGCATCAGTGTGGATGCTGCCTTGAGCTAGGGGAATTTTGTATAATTGCCTCACTATCCCACAAAGAAAGGCAATTTCAGTGTGATAAACATATTCCTTAGCTGTCTGTACAACAGCAATACTTGCACAAAAACAAGGCTGAATTTCTGACAGCTGCACAAAGTCCCTGCATGTACGACTGCAATGTTAGGCAGTGCACCTGCTCCTCCTGAAGGATTTTGTCCTTGCCAGATACTCACAGCCGATCTCAGCCCTGCCACTCTGCATTCCCCTGGCCATACCGTCTGTTGTTGGAGCAGTTTCAAAACATCACAAGCCAAGTTTATGCAGGGACAACTTAACTGGTTTCTTCTGTCTCACCATGGCCTCCTGAAGCAGGAACATGGCAAATAAGAATAAGAGAAGAGGGGTCAAAAACTGCAGGAACTGGTTGGATGCTGATTGAGGCACAAGGTGTGGTACCAGAAGAGCCTCTTTAGGAGGGAAGTTTCTTTGAAGTAGGACTTCAGGGAGATAGCATGTTCACAAAAGAGAAATTCTGCTTATGGAATTGAAGAAACTGCTTGCTCCCATCATCTCACCCCGAACTTGGGGAGATTGCTCCTCAGCCTGGGCTTGTCTGGCTCAGGGAAGGAAGAAGATTGCAGAAAGAGGGTAAGGAAGAAGGACATATGTCGCTCCCAGAAAAGGTGATGTTTGCGTTACTGAAGTGGAAGAAGTAAGAAAAGCTTGAGGGAAGTAGGAGTGAAGCACTGACTGTTACCAGACAGGACCTCTGTAACACTGGTATTTTCCAGGTATGGTGCTGCCAGTCCTTACAAGGATCCTTTCTTTGTCTTTTTGTTTCAGTTTGTGAGCAGCATCTACTGCTTGAAAGAGTAATGAGCTGCATAAAAGTGACAGGGAGGGCCCCTTCCCACTGCACCTACTGCACATGTGGTAGGTGGACACCCAGACACTGCCATATCCTCAGGGAGGACAGTCTGCTTGCCTGGCTGTAGGGAGAAATGCCAGAGTTCTGGAAAACACCAGTAAAACCTACTCAGCTGGAGAAGCTCAACACAGTGACTGTGAGTCATTGCCTTAAGTCTATCTATCCCTTCAGTACCAGAAAATCTCTCTTCTGTATAGTGTGTCTATAAGTCAGCTACATCTGACTTACATCTCATCCCACATCCTCCTGCAGTTGAGGAATCCAACCCAGGCAAACAAACCCCACAGAAGCTGGCAGTATGCAACAGGCAGGGACAGAGGATTTGGAAGACAGCTTTGTGCTTGGCCAAGTTGACCACTGCCTTGTCCAGCACAAAGCAAGTGTCCACCAGCCACAAGGATCCCAGAGTGAGCAGGCTCCATGAGGAAAATGGCCTCTGGAGCTCAGGAGCAGTGGAGGAAGCAGAGTGCACAAGTATTCTGTGAGGCCGTGCAAGCCTTGAGCCCTGGGATAATGAGCCTAGGTGAGTAAATTGCAGCCTTCCTATCTCCCAGGCTTCACTAATGAGAAGAGATTCAGGTCTACTTGCAACTATTCCACATATTGAAGGTGTGCTGGAGCCAATGCCTGATCTCACAGGGCTGGCTGTTTTTCCAGTACACATTCTTGGACAAACCTTGCATATTGTCTAACTTGACAGGCATCATGTCTGACATTTCTTGATCTCGACCAAATTCTCCCTCTGCACAAACATTAATTTTAAAAGGCAAATTTCCTAGTGTTCCTGTTACCATCAGTCTGACTTATCGTACTGGGAAATGTGAATTTTTATAATATATAGACCTTATGTCTTGGTGTGGTATCTCAAGCACCCTGAGATAAAGGAGCACACGGAGAGGAAATGTGACTTATAATGAATTTTCATGGTGATAGAAGTGGCACCAGGAACTTTTCTCTTGCCCAATAGGCATCAGCATGCTGTGAGAGCCACTACAAAGAAAACAACAAACTGTGGAAGATCTCATAGGAAGAACTTAAAGCTTGTTTCCTATTTAATCTGCTCAATAGGATCTGAAGACAGATCCAAAACAGAGCTAAGAATTCCATAAAACCCCAAACTTCTGCTGATCTGTGTTCACTTCTCCTTTCCATATAGAGCTGTAACTTTTAAGGCGAGTGGCAAATGCTATTTATTTTAACCAGAGAACACCGTTGAGTCACATCCCAAACACTGCTGGCTACAGCAGCTGAAACAAAACTTTAAAAATAAATAAAATTTTTAAAAAATTAACTAGCCCATGCTTACAAGGCTGGGGCAGAAACAAATATGAAACCCAATTCTTAGAATACAGTTCAGTCTTTATTCTTGGAAAGAGATCACATTCTAGCCACAGCAAGTAGGGTTTTTTCTTAATTGAATTTACTCTTGTTGTATTCCTTCCTAACCTCCCCCAAACCCCTATTTTAATTAGTGCTTTTAGAATTTAAATCTTAAGTATCAATTCAGGAAATCTCTACAAACCATTTGTGAATTATTTTATGAAGTCTCTTATACAACAGTTTTCAGATCTTAAGGAAGTCTGTCAGCTTTCTGGTGCAGAACAGCATTATGCATTTTCTGGACCAAGGACAAGGGACATTATTAATTGATGACTGCTGTAATGTAATCCTATTCAAACAGGTGGTGGGTGGACTGGAACTACAGCATTCTTCCAGCTTTTTTGTAAAAAAAAGATTTTCCATAAGCGCAAAGAAAGTGGTAATGCTGTTGTATCATAGAGCTCAAAATAATTGCAATACTGACAAAAAGAAACAGTCTTGTCCATGAAACAAGGCAGGGGTATATTTTTGGCTGCAGGAAAAAGCAAACACACTGAAGATGCTGGAGAAAATAAAGACTGCTTGATTGTGAAGAAAAAGACTGAGAGAGTATAGAAGTCACCTGCAGCTCCTTCTGTTGGGACAAAAGGCACTGACCTAATTCCCATGGAAACAATAGAGATTTCCATAATTGTTTTGGTCTGGACCCACATACATTTGTGTTGTCCTGACAGGAACTGTATTAGTAGCATTTACAGGCTTTGCCTTTTTGCCATATTATTACCATCTTCCTAACACTCATTCTGGAGCTAAGAAACTGCTGTCCCATTGCCCAAACTCCACAGCTGCTTCCATGCAGTCTCTAGGGAGGGCTCAGCTTCTGATTTTTACCTGCTTACCTGCAGGGACTGCTGGCAGTAGTAGTGTTCAGGAAACACTGGGCCACAGGCAATGCCTGCACTCTGTTCCATTTGCAAACCAAAAAGACAAATCCCCTGATTTACAATTCAAAGCACCAGCTAAACATCTACCAGTTGGATCATAAGGACTGTAAATCAGCATTCCAGGCCCTTGTACTTTTCATCTAGTTTGAAAATATTATTCACAAGATCACAACAGGCAAGTATCTCATATCAATTTTTATTATTATAAATACTATATTGGAACAGAAAGGATGGTGCTGCACATCTGCTTCCTTCTGCTGCTATTTGGCATCTTCTTTCTTGGCTCCTGCTTC